AGTGACCATCCGATGGTCACTCACTGGTGGTGGGCATCCCATCATGCATCGCGTCTTGCCATGTAGTGTCCAAAACCTCCAGTAATTGAGCTCACTACATAGTCAGCTATATACTCCCGAAGTTGGATTTCCAACTCGGAAAGTTGGATGATCCTCACCAACCCCGACTTGACGACAACATCATAATCCAAGATGGCAGCGCAGTGCATCAACAGTAAAGAGTAACAGTAAAAGCTGTTGTAATGTTTTATTTATTAGCACTTCTGTTTTGTTTTTGTGAAATTAAATAAGTTGTAAATGTTGTACTGCCCAAAGTCTAACTGTAAACATGGTACTATGGTGTTTGTAAGAGTAAAATACTGTGTTATGCGTTGTTTACAACTGGTGTAGCTAACAAAAACTAACAGCAACTGACAACAACTAACAACAGCTGACAGTAGGCGTCTATCTTAGTTTTCCAACTTGTTTACTGGAACGCTGTCAACTTGGCTGTAATGTCACTCCTAGCTCCGACATCCGACTTCCAAGGCTGCGCAATAAGATGATAATGATATATCGAAAATTAATCTCCCTCAATATCAATATAAAACATGGTCGAAATGCTTTTTCAATAGTCGGAATTAAAAAAGGAGAAAAGTGCGTTCTCCAGAATTTAGCTGGGTTTAGAGCAGCAAGGTGTACGATGTGTGTCCCCGTTAAAAGACACGGATACAGATGTCCAGTTTAGTAGTGGATTTATTTGACTGTGGTTCTGCAGATACAGATACAGGATCATCTGCTGAGATTGTCATCAGAACCATCTGGTAATCTGACCCAAAATACATCATACTGGCTGATGGAACCTTGCGACCAGGACCGATTATGACCCGGCTGACTTTGGATCACGCAGACACGCTTATTTTATCAATGAGAAGAAGTTCGCAGAAATCTGGACACTGTGAGTCTGAATTATTGCTCCAATCAGTTAATTCAAATTCAGTAGTTTGAGTTTCATTTTGTATGACAACAGTGATTGATAATTTTTAATAGTCTGATATGTACAATGTACAAACTGGAATTAAATATCAGCTTCATTAGTTTTTCAGAGACAATGTTTTTGTTTTTGAGTTTCCTGTGTGTGTGTGTGTGTGTGTGTGTGTGTGTGTGTGTGTTTGGAGATGTGGCTCTGTGGGGATCTCAGGGTTTTGGGTTTTATGTTTGAGGACGGGTGCTGATGTGTTCAGGGACCCCTGTGTGTCGGTGACACCCTGTGTGTCTGCAGCGTTCAGGCGGCTACACAGATGAAAGTGTGAGGTCTCTGGTTACACACACACACACACACACACACACACACACACACACACACACACGCACACACACACACATAAAGCATAAACACACACTGAAACACACACATTCTTATCCTCTGAATTCGTCAGGACCCGCTCTGACATTGTTTTTTAACTCTGCTGTTTAAAAACACAAAAAAAAACCCCTTCATGAATCTGGAGGTAGAAGTCTAACACTCCGGTTTCCAGCTTGTTTGTTGTTGTTGTGATAAAACTCCACAAACATCGGCCTCCTCCTCCTCCTTCATCCTAACAGAATCAATAATGCAGATCCTTTGTGGACCAGATGAGATTTTTAAGGATAAAATCACGTTAAGTCTGTGTTTTTCCTTTAAATTCACCGGAATCGCTCTCAGGAGAAAGAGGAGGATTTGGGGTTGGCAGTCCGGCACACGGAGCCACCTGACTGCTTCGTGGTCAGCTCAGCATCGGGCTGACAGGGGGGAGCGGGAGCCTCTATAAACTGGGTCGCGGAGGGTAAAACTGCCTGAGGGCAGCTTGGCTGACACCCCACATCTAAATCAGCGCGTTAAGCACCGGTACACGACAAAGAACTATGAGCAAAAAATGCAAGAGAGGGGAAACTGAATGCATTATGTGTTTTAATATTCAGAGTTTGCAGAGTGGATGAGATCAGCGCTGTGGAGCTGAGCCATTTGGCTTCCCTTCAAAGAGACGAACGCATGAAGGGTGTCGACCTGCTCGGTTCACACAGAGCCGCTCCTCGGTTTGCAAATGAAACTCACCTGAAGGTCGACGCTCCGTTAAACACACACAGAGACCGTTAGCTGGACCGGGAGCCGAGGTTAAACTCACTCATTAAAACAACACTGGGTAATTTCACTGCAGATGTTTGCAGAGAGAGACTTAATGAGACTCAAAAACCTACAGAGCCGGAGTTTGCTCCTAAACCACATAAACATGTCCTATAATCCGGCCGTAGATCATTTAGAGTCCAGACCTCAGGACTCTGCTGCTGTGTTAAGCGCTGCACAATCTCAGAGATGTTTTTTCACATTTTTTACTTTCACTGAGGATGTGTCCAAGAAAAGCATCACTAGATGTATGTAAGAACCATGTCATTCTGGCTAGGCCAGTGACGTCCAGGAATAGACTGGTTGACGACCATGAATAGTGTGGTGACAGCTTGGAGAGACAGCAGACAGCACGGAAAGACGGCAACCGGGACAGGAAGGGCCAGCAACCCGACCTGCAACTTCCGTGAGGAAGAACCCGAACTCAGCTACAAAAAGCCCTAAAGAAACATACCCCCAGGGGAGCCCGAGAGGGGGGGAGAATGAGCACCCCGAACGGACGGACAACCAGGCAACGACCAACGCAAACGGACAATCGACAACGAATGCTGTATGTGTATGCGGAAAGAGCTGCAAAAACCCAAAGGGTCTGAAGATCCACCAGACCAAGATGGGCTGTTTGGTGAATAGGCAGCCAGAGCAGCGCTCAAGGATCAACCTCAAAGAGACGCAGGAGGAACCGGGGCGGGAAGAAACCCGCAGCACCCAGAACCCATGTGCTCCAGAGGTCCTTGGTGAGACGCAGGAGGACCCGGGCCAGGAGTCAACCCACAGTGCCCAGAACCTCCGTGCCCTGGAAGCCCAAACGCCAGTCATCCCACAACACCACCGGCGGGTTAAGTGGCCCCCAGCCAGCAAAGGGAGTGAGTGGCAGCAATTCGATGATGACGTGGATGGAATCCTGGAAGCTACCTTGAAAGGAGGGCCAGACGGGAAACTCCAAACAATGGCTACCATGATCATCAGCATCGCCACTGAAAGATTCGGATCAATGGAGAAGCGTGCTACCACAAACCAGTACTACAAGAACCGCAGGGCAGAAAAGATCTCACAGCTACGACAGGAACTCAGAGACCTGAAGAAGCAGTTCAAGGGTGCAAGTGAGGATGAGAAGCCAGGACTGGCAGAACTACGTGGTGTCCTTAGGAGGAGGCTGCTGACCCTCCGCCGAGCAGAGTGGCATAGAAGGCGGGCTAAGGAGAGAGCCAAAAGACGCGCTGCATTCTTAGCGAATCCTTTTGGGTTCACCAAACAGCTGCTAGGCCAGAAGCGCAGCGGCCATCTCACATGCTCAAAGGAGGAAGTAGACACCTACCTTCACGACACCTACAGTGATGCAGCCCGGGAGGAGGACCTAGGTGAATGCAGAGCTCTAATCAACCCACCTGTACCAGCCACTGAATTAAACACCAAGGTTCCCAGCTGGAAAGAAGTCCAGACGGTGGTCAAGGCTGCTAGAAACAACTCGGCACCTGGACCCAATGGTGTACCTTACCTAGTGTACAAGAGATGCCCCAAGCTCCTGCACCGTCTGTGGAAGATCCTGAGGGTGATCTGGAGGAGGGGGACAGTTGCCCAACAATGGAGATCTGCAGAAGGGGTATGGGTTCCAAAGGAAGAGAAGGCAACCACCATCGAGCAGTTTAGAACCATCTCACTGCTTAACGTCGAGGGGAAGATATTTTTCAGTATTCTTTCCCACCGGCTGTCAGACTACCTCCTGAAGAACCAGTACATCGACCCCTCGGTGCAAAAAGGGGGAATCCCAGGGGTTCCGGGTTGCCTTGAACACAGTGGCGTGGTGACACAATTGATCAGGGATGCTCGAGAGGGGAAAGGAGACCTAGCTGTACTATGGCTAGACCTAGCCAATGCGTACGGCTCTATACCTCACAAGCTAGTGGAGGTGGCATTGGAGAGGCACCATGTCCCTGGCAACATCAAAGTCCTCATCATGGACTATTACAACAGCTTCAACTTGAGGTTCACCTCCGGCACAGTTACATCTGGACGGCATCGACTGGAGAAAGGGATCATCACTGGATGTACCATTTCAGTGATACTCTTTGCCCTGGCCATGAACATGCTGGTCAAGTCTGCCGAGTCGGAGTGCAGAGGCCCCAAATCCAAGTCCGGAATCCGTCAGCCCCCCATCAGAGCATTTATGGACGACCTGACAGTAACAACAGTGTCAGTCCCAGGATGCAGATGGATCCTCCAGGGCTTGGAGAGGCTGACCACCTGGGCCCGGATGCGCTTCAAGCCTGAAAAATCCAGGTCTCTAGTCCTGAAGAGAGGGAAGGTGACTGACCGGTTCCACTTCTCTCTAGGAGGTACCCACATTCCATCAGTCACAGAGAAGCCCGTGAAGAGCCTCGGAAAAACCTTTGACTGCTCCCTAAAGGATGCCGCTTCCATCAGGGCGACCAACGAACAGCTGGAGAGTTGGCTGACCACAGTCGACAAGTCAGGTCTTCCGGGGAAATTCAAGGCGTGGGTATACCAGCATGGCATCCTGCCTAGGATTCTGTGGCCATTGCTGGTGTATGAGTTTCCCATCTCCACTGTGGAAGGGTTTGAGAGGAGGGTCAGCAGCCGCCTGCGACGATGGTTGGGTCTGCCTAGAAGCCTAAGCAGCATCGCCCTTTACGGCAACAAGAACAAGCTGACTCTCCCCATAAACAGCCTCACCGAGGAGTTCATGGTTGCCAGAGCGAGGGAGGTTCTCCAGTACAGGGAATCCAAGGACCCAAAGGTTTCCCAAGCAGGAATTGAGGTGAGGACAGGCAGAAAGTGGAGAGCAAAGGAGGCTGTGGACCAGGCAGAATCACGGCTGTGCCACAGAGACCTCGTGGGATCGGTGGCTGCCGGCCGTGCAGGACTGGGAACCATTCCAACAACCCGGTACAACAAGCTCAAGGGCAAGGAGAGGCGGGACCAGGTCCAGCTCGAGGTGAGGGCCGGAATTGAAGAGCAGCGTGCAAGCCAGTGGGTGGGATTGAGGCAACAGGGCGCGTGGACCAGATGGGAGGAAGCCACAGACAGAAAAATCTCGTGGAACGAGCTGTGGAGGGCTGAACCCCTCCGCATTAAATTCCTCATTCAGTCTGTCTATGATGTCCTGCCCAGCCCATCGAACCTCTTCTGTTGGGGCAAGGTTGAAACTCCAGCATGTCCCTTGTGCCAAGGAAGAGGAACCCTGGAGCACATCCTCAGCAGCTGTCCTAAAGCACTTGGTGAAGGCCGCTATCGCTGGCGCCATGATCGTGTGCTGAAGGCGGTTGCTGAGTCCATCAACACTGCCATCTTCCAGAGCAAACGCTTACAACCATCAAGGCGTGAAATCTCCTTTGTAAGAGCCGGAGATCAACCACCTCCCCGACCTAAAGCCCAGTCAGGCCTCCTGGGAACAGCGAAGGACTGGCAGCTAAGGGTGGACCTGGGAAAACAACTGAAATTCCCTGAAAACATTGTGGAAACCAGACTTAGGCCAGACATCGTCCTAGTCTCAGAGACATCCAAGCAAGTCATCATGTTGGAGCTAACAGTGCCGTGGGAGGAGAGAATGGAAGAAGCAAGTGAGAGAAAGAGAGAGAAATATGCAGAGCTGGTGGAGGAGTGCCGCAAACGGGGGTGGCGTGCACGATGCCTACCGATTGAGGTGGGGGGAAGAGGCTTTGCAGGGAAATCACTCTGCAAGGCCTACAGTCTCCTGGGCATCACAGGGGCACGGAAGAGGAGAGCCATCTCTACAGCCTCTGAGGCTGCAGAGAGAGCCTCGCAATGGCTGTGGATCCAGAGGGATAAGCAGTGGTTGAGTGCTTCTTGGACACGGGCCGGGAACTGATCACCCCGGTCGGGTCACCTGAGTGAGGGGGTCTGAAGTTGAAAGACCCGAAACCCCCGATGAGCTCAGGCACTATCACTGAGGATGTGTCCAAGAAAAGCATCACTAGATGTATGTAAGAACCAATCACCCTAAATATGTAGAAAACATACGTCAGTGTTTGAGTAAAATCCACTGAATCGATTCCTCTGAACAGATGTGCAAACTGTCACAGTCGTGTACATTTACATGAGAAATCTATTTATCTAAAACTTTAGTGTTATGGACAGAGATCCAGATCCAGGATCCAAGCTTTGCAGGTTAATCAGGGAGAGCCTGTGACCTTTTTAATCTGCAGTATGTGATTATACCCTATATACATCCCAGAGTAACTATTTAGTGTTTTATAACCTCTTTTTTAAAATGTACCTTCTTTTATTGTTTGATTTTAAGAGAGTTTTATTTAATTAACTTTTAACACTTTATTACCTATATTATATTTAATCATGGTTTTATCATTTTAGTCCTAGATTCAGGGTTTCCTCATCTTTTTTAACTCAAGATAGCGTTTCCTTAGTCATCTGTGGAAAGTTAAAGAGTCCTCACCTGGTCTTTTGTGTGTAAAATCTGTGTGTGTGAGTGCTGTATGTGTTGAATGGGGGTTAGGAGGGTGGGTGGGTTCTGGTATTTGTATTTTGATTTATTTTATTTCATTGTTTTTTAATGTCCTGCGCGAATGAACATCACTTTGTGCTACATTATATGTATGAAAAGCGCTTTAAAAATAATGTTTGTTTGATTGATCGATAGATTGGTTGTGACCGTCATTAAGGTAAAATCAATGATACGAATTAATTACATGTTAAGTCGACGCTAAGACGCGATAAGACGCTTGTACTGCTCTGATTTGTGGATGTGATAAGACGCTTGTACTACTCTGATGGCGCCAATGACGCGAGTTGGGACGCACAAACTCAGTGAGTTATTTGCACGAATGTGGCGAATTCGCAAGAGTTGAAAATATCTCAACTTGAACGAATCTTTGTGTCGTGATAACCAATCAGCACGAAGATTCCCGGATGATGCATGAAAACAGACTGGAGGATGTTCACTGGTATGGAAAATGGAGGACAAGCTTATTGTGTCAGTGTGCGGGAACCCAGAGCTGTTTAACACAATGTGTTTTTAAAGAAAAATAGGAATAAAAAGGAGCTCATCTGGAGGAAAGTTAGTGAGGAGGTCAGATTATCTGGTAAATTGTGAAAAAACTTTGTCTATTACTTGATCCTGCCAGTTGAATTGGTGAGGATCTCTGGTGATGTTAGCATAAACAGCTATCCATGGCTTTTAATAACTCTGTTGACGTGCGAATGGACGAAATGATTCCCAAGAATAGAGCGAATTATTCCCTCGAATGAAGGGAGTAGATGATTTTATTCACTCTTTGTGTGAACGCTCCTTTAGCTGGTACCAATCAGCTGAGACTGGGAGGTTATATAAGGAGGCGGAGGTCTCCTGTGAAAAACATACAGTAGATCAGTAGATTTCACTGAAAACTGAGTCATCAGTTTTAGTCGTCACATGACCCCTGAGGGGATGATGGCAGATAATTATCACACACCTGGGTGGACAATAGGCTGGGTGGTCCTTCTCCTCTCTAGAGCAGAGACTGCAGGGTCCACGATTTCCAAAAAGATGTCATGGTCCAGTTTGAACCTCATTTGTGGATGCAGTGATTAACTGTGTTCAATAATGCAGCATATTGATTTCTTGAAAGGATAACTGGACCTAACTGGACCTAAAATTGATCTCAGTTGTTCTTTCCTCTCTGGTTTTAATGCCCTGCAGATCAGGACCATCTAGTCCTGGTTTTGGTCCTTGTCCCCCTTTTGTACAGAAATTTCTCCAGATCCTCTGAATCTTTGAATGATATTCTGTTCTGTAGATGATGAAATACACTCATGAACTTTATTCTGAAACTGTTGAACTGTTACAGGGCTCGACAGTGCGGCCATCACTCACATTTGCGGCTAAAAATAGATGTGTGTGAATTATAAAATGTATTTAGGGTCACATGTGTGCATTAAAAAAAATCAACAAATGTTTTTTCCTGTAAATACGGCGTTGAAGTTAGTTTTAGGTTGGGTATTCACTGAGGATCTACCAGTGTCTTCTCACTCTCCATAACCGGGAATAACAACAGCAGCACGGTTAAATCTACTCAGCACCCTTGCTGTCAACTTCGGGTGTTGAATAAGGGACCATCAATAAATTACTGGCTGATGTTCTCAGAAAAGGCTGTTGTCCTTCAATAGCTTCTATGTCATGTGACCAAAAGACCTAAAATTGATTTCAAACAATAGTACTTACACTCACTGGCCACTTTATTAGGTACACCTGTCCAACTGCTCGTTAACACTTAATTTCTAATCAGCCAATCACATGGCGGCAACTTAGTGCATTTAGGCATGTAGACATTGTCAAGACAATCTCCTGCAGTTCAAACCGAGCATCAGTATGGGGAAGAAAGGTGATTTGAGTGACTTTGAACGTGGCATGGTTGTTGGTGCCAGAAGGGCTGGTCTGAGTATTTCAGAAACTGCTGATCTACTGGGATTTTCACGCACAACCATCTCTAGGGTTTACAGAGAATGGTCCGAAAAAGAAAAAATATCCAGTGAGCGGCAGTTCTGTGGGCGGAAATGCCTTGTTGATGCCAGAGGTCAGAGGAGAATGGCCAGACTGGTTCGAGCTGATAGAAAGGCAACAGTGACTCAAATAACCACCCGTTACAACCAAGGTAGGCAGAAGAGCATCTCTGAACACACAGTACGTCGAACTTTGAGGCAGATGGGCTACAGCAGCAGAAGACCACGCCGGGTGCCACTCCTTTCAGCTAAGAACAGGAAACTGAGGCTACAATTTGCACAAGCTCATCGAAATTGGACAATAGAAGATTGGAAAAACGTTGCCTGGTCTGATGAGTCTCGATTTCTGCTGCGACATTCGGATGGTAGGGTCAGAATTTGGCGTCAACAACATGAAAGCATGGATCCATCCTGCCTTGTATCAACGGTTCAGGCTGGTGGTGGTGGTGTCATGGTGTGGGGAATATTTTCTTGGCACTCTTTGGGCCCCTTGGTACCAATTGAGCATCGTTGCAACGCCACAGCCTACCTGAGTATTGTTGCTGACCATGTCCATCCCTTTATGACCACAATGTACCCAACTTCTGATGGCTACTTTCAGCAGGATAATGCGCCATGTCATAAAGCTGGAATCATCTCAGACTGGTTTCTTGAACATGACAATGAGTTCACTGTACTCAAATGGCCTCCACAGTCACCAGATCTCAATCCAATAGAGCATCTTTGGGATGTGGTGGAACGGGAGATTCGCATCATGGATGTGCAGCCGCCAAATCTGCGGCAACTGTGTGATGCCATCATGTCAATATGGACCAAGCTCTCTGAGGAATGCTTCCAGCACCTTGTTGAATCTATGCCATGAAGAATTGAGGCAGTTCTGAAGGCAAAAGGGGGTCCAACCCGTTACTAGCATGGTGTACCTAATAAAGTGGCCGGTGAGTGTATGTCGACCACTAAGACAAATATTATTTGATCAATTTTTATTGTGCGCTCTGTGTGCTCCTTACTTTTTCGACTTAGAAGCACATGTGAAAAAAAGTTAGTGTCAAACCCTGTGTTCGCTCACACAGTCTCTCACAGAGTCCTAAACCTTTCAGAAACTCCGCCTCTCTGAATGTCCGTCTTAGATCTGGTCATGTGACTAACCTGTCAGACATTCACCTCATTTTCTGTTTTTAATCTCCATCCTAACTTTCACTTTCAAAGAGAGACCATTTGATATGTTGTTTTTTCTTTTCATATTTTTGATAACCATTAAAATCTGCGTTAATCGATATTTCCCACAGTGTTCAGACTCTTTTAAGGACGGGAGCTGAAACAAAAGAGATAATTATTATCAATAATTTAAACCACCATTACCTGCAGCAGCTCTGAAAGACTGATTAAATGGAGGAGGATAAATGTCTGATATTTTTACCTCCTCCTCTTCAGGTGGAGGAGTCCAGAGGGAAGAGGAGAGTTTCAATCAAAGAGGAGGAGGTGTTTTTTTCTCATAGTCACACCAAACACACAGAATTAAGGTGTGTGTGTGTGTGTGTGTGTGTGTGTGTGTGTGTGTGTGTGTGTGTGTGTGTGTGTGTGTGTGTGATGAAAATGAGGTCAGCAGCGATTCAAACACACTCTGTGTGTCTCTCTAACCTTTAGAGGATCCTGCCGACACTCAGATTAACTCTCAGTGAGGGTAAATCCTGGACGACAGCTCACACACTCACACACACGCAAAGTAATACCTCACACACCCTCACACACTCACACACACTCCTGAGACGGCATAAAGTAAAACCTCAAACACACACACGGGCTCTCAATCTGTCTCTAACTCTCCCGTGTACACTAAACACACACACACACACACACACACACACACACACACACACACACACACACACACACACACACACACACACTGCAGCTCCTGTAACATCACTTTGCAAATGTGCATACACAAGCTCGCTCTGGTTCCCTCACACACACACACACACACACACACACACACACACACACACACACACACACACACACACACACACACACACACACACAGCCTGTCCTGAACTTTGGGGGTGTGTGGGTAAAAAGCTGACATGATGTGACAGGAGGTGTGCCGACTCGGCAGAAGTGGTTTCTGCAGATTCTTGATGTGAACCTGCAGCAGCTGTCAGATCTCTGTCAGACCGTCGCCAAGCTTTTTATTCTACAAATTCTGTCTCATCCAACCAACTCACTCATCCATCCATCCATCCATCCATCCCTCCTCCTCCTCCTCCTCCACCCACTGGAGTTTGTCAGACGTCAACAAAACCTCCATGTGGGCCACAAAAACAAATCCTGAATCCACTGTTCCTGATTAGAAGTATTTGTTAAATTTTCAACTTTTTCTGATTATTAACAAACGCATGGACCAAATCTGAAAACAGACTCACATATATCTCAGCTTTAGACAATTTCACAAACTTACATATCACTCAAAATGATCAGGAGATTCAGAGGAGTTAAAAAA